CCACTGACCTTGAGGTGAGCAGCCCAGCACATAACCACTACCCCACCAGGGCCCCTTTGCTGTAGGAGGACAGGGAGGATTTTTCCTAGAAGAGACAGGGGGGCTTCCTGGAAGAGGTGGCACTAGAGCTGAGGTGGGAAGGACAAGTACCAGTTCTTAGATGGGGAGACAGGGTGGATAGCCCCCCAAAAGGAACAGACACGTGAGCGTCCTGAGGCCTGATTGGAACCTTCTGCAAACAGAGGTGGTGTGTTGGTTAGAATGTGTTGGGCTGCTAACCTGGTTAGTGGTTTAAGCCCACCAGCCACTCCTTGAAAGAAAGATGAGGCTGTTTGCACCCATAAAGATGTATCGCCTCAAAAACCCTATATTGGGTTGAACCCTATGTGACCCTATATAAGAGTCGAGATGGCGACTTGGTGGCAGTGCGTTGGGTTGGGTTTGGGAGGTTCGAACAGTGGGGAGCTATGAGGGGGGCAGGAGGCCTGCTGCCCACTGGGGCAGGTGTCAAGACCTGGGGCTCACAGACTGAATCCAGCCTCCAGATGGTCTCTCTCTGTTGTCTCTCTCTCTCTTCTCTCTGTTGTCTCTCTATCATGTGTGTGTGCATGTGCATGTGTGTACAGCTTCTCCCCTCTAAAAATAAGGACGCGTTACATGAAAAGTCTGACGTCCAACTTCTCCGGAACCACCCAAGGAATCTAGGTTAGTGTCCCCACCACAGGTGGCCAAGCTGCGTCTCTATTGCCCACTAGGAAGGGGTGTGCTCCTGCAGGCAGCTAACCCTGCACTGTCGGTGTGGTCAGAGGGCTGTGAGACTTGGAGTGGCTGGCCCTGGCCATGTGCCCACTGCACAGGCAAAGACAGTAAGGGACCAGGCCTCGCCTTGCCACACTCCTCCTTCCCTGCTCACTCCTACTCACCCCTGGTGGGCTCACACGGCCGCCGTTCCTATCCCGCCTTGAAGGCATCTGAATTTGGTGCTGAATGTCACCCTCCTCCCCCACATACACACAGGGGACAATTAGTATTGAGAGTGGTAGCTTCTGAAATAATAGCTAGTAATATAAATGAGTTTAAGCTAGGCAGCAGTTACCAGTCCCGGGGTGCTGGGGCTGTCCCGGGTGAGGTAAAGCCAAGAGAATAGCTGGCCCTTGTTAATGTGCCCTCCGAGCTGAGCCCTGGCAAGCCCTGTGCATGCATGGCTCATGCCAACTTGGAGGATGTTAGGATCATGCCCATTGCACAGATGGACAGACTGAGCCCAGGGCCCACAGCCAGGGAATGTGATGCTGGAGCCCAGGAGGGGGCCCAGCGCCCTCACCCCATAGTTCCCAGACCTACCTGGTCCTGAGGTGATGCTCTGCCACCCCCCAGAAGGTCTTCATGTTCAGCAGCGGTCCAGGCAGGTGTCTGTGGCCACGGTGGCGAGGAAGTGCAGGGGCTCGTGTCCGCTGGGATTTGAAAATCCTGTGCTTCTGCTTTTCCGCTTTTTAATGCCACGCTCCTTGACGCCATGCCCCGCCCTGTCGGAGCCCACAGCTCAGGGGGGCTGGGCCACGGGGCCTCATCCTCTCTCCACTAGCCAGTGGAGGGTGTGGGAGGGGTAAGACGAAGCCCTTCCCAAGCAACTTCTCCAGTTTCACTGCCACCGGGCTGAATTCAACTCAGCCACATGTAAGACAGAGTCCCACTGCCCCCGTGGGCTTCTGAGACTGTCAATCTTTTCTGGAGTCGAAAGTCTCCTCTTTTTCCCACAGAGTAGCTGGTGGTATGGAGATGCCAGCCTTGCGGCCAGCAGCCCAATGGGTAACAACTCCACCTCCAGGGGAGGCATTTGAGGCCCAGAGACCCACTGCTCAGGAGCGGTGTGCCAAGCCTGGAATTCCACCAGCCCTGCCCGGCCCTGCCCTCCATCGCCCGGTCCCGAGGGAGAGCGTGCAGATGAGTGGCCCTGACTCCCCTGAGATGCTTGCCCAGCCAGCAGTGGCTCCAGTCTCCTTCTACAGCCCGTCAGGGGCAACAGACCTGTGTTCAAACCCAGCTACATGACCTTGGGCAGGTGAACGTAATTTCTCTGAGTTTTAGGTCCCTCCCTCCGCTTCAAAAACCCAAAAGCCAAATTCACTGTCCCCGAGTTGATGCTGACTCCTAGCATAAGGTGACCAGATTTAAAGCGGGACACCATTGACCAGGGGGCAGTGGTGGTGTTCTTGATTAAAAATTTGGTCTATATGGACCAAATAGACCGTTCCCTAGCTTGTCGTGCATTCTTTCCAAAAATCGGGACTATTTTAAAATGCCAAAAATCGGGACTTTTTAAAAACACCAAAAATCAGGACTGTCCCGCCAAAAGCAGGACGTCTGGTTACCTTATCCTAGAGCCCCTCTCAAACTCAAGGGCATTGACTCACAGAGACCCTCTAGGACAGGGTAGAACTGCCCCTGTGGGTTTCTGAGACTGTTAACTCTTTACGGGAGTAGAAAGTCTTTCTCCCTCAGAGTGGCTTGCGGTTTCAAACTTCGGACCTTGGAGATAGCAGGCCAACTCACAGCCACGACACCACCGGGGCTCCTTACCCTTCAGAAAGACTGTGAAAACAACGGTTACCAACCATAAATTGACCACTTCCTGTATCAGGCCTGCTAAACACTTTCATGTGGACTCCCCAAGTCTTGAAGCTCAGCAACTCTCTCTGGCCGGGGTTGCTCCGACCCCCACTCTTCAGCGCAGAAAACTGAGATCCAGCGATTCACGCACTCGACCAAGCCACTCAGCGAGTCAAAGGCTGAGCCACGACTTGTGCCCAGCAGTCCTGCGGCCCCCTAGTTAGCTTCTCTGCTCCTCTCTGCTTTGGCTCTGCTGCCAGGGCCATGCTGGTCATTTCCAGAAGGCCTCCGGTGGCTGTGAAGTACGGGAGCAAGGGAGCCTGGCATCCAGGAGGCCAAGGGCAGAAGCTATTTCTGGAGTGCCCAGAAGCAAGGTTAGCACGGTTTCCCCAGCCTTACTTCTCTGTCATCAATGAACCACAGGCTCACAACTTGTGTGCCGTTGTCTAAAGTAGATACGTAAGTTAGTGCAAGTCAGTAATCCAAAGTAGAAAACGGTGAGATTCTTCACAGCAGATTTGTAATTAAGCTATACGTAAGCCCTGTGTATGGGAGCCCGATAGGGCTACCATCCACGTGGTCGGCAGTTCAAAACCACCAGCTACTCCTCAGAAGACAGATGGGGCTTTCTACTCCCGTAAATTGTTACCAGCTTGGAAACCCACAGCGGGGTAGCGATGAGTTGGCACTGACTCGATGACTTGGTTTTGAAAACCTATGTTTACCTTGCTTACTGGGGGATCCCACATTGATTGGCTCTACTGGTCTCACCGGGGTGGTTGGCGGCTGGGTAAAGCATCTGGCTCTGAAAATTAGCCAGTTACCCTTGAGTCTGCTCACCCCTGGGGAACCACGCATCTCGGAGCAGAATGATGTGTTTGTTGAAACTGGGTTTTCTTTTTCGTCACTCTTTTCCCTTTTTATTGTGGGATAGAACACGCCCTGGGACAGCATGCGGAACACGATTCTGTAGCTCAGTCCCGTTTTAGAAAGCGAATGCCCAGGTCACAGCCACCCAGGTCAAGAAACTGGCAGTGGCCCAGAAAGTGCCACCCCCTCACCCCCAAGCATGTAGCTCTTTCTCTCTGCCCCTGCCTCCCCTCCCCACTATAGTCATCGAAGTCTGCTTCTTGGAGTATGGAAACCGTTGTTCGTGTTTTCTTCTTTTATAATCGTGCTCTCGGGCAGTATTTGTCTTTCTGAGATGGACTGGCATTACTGAGCACGTCTTCCAAATCCGCCCATGTCTTGAGGTGGCTGACAGTTTTCTGGCTGGAAAACTGGGTTTTCAGTGGCTTTTTTTTCTCCCCTGGAAGAAGATCACCAGGCCTTTTATCTGAGGTGTTTCTGGGAGAACTGGAACCATCACCCTTTCGCTCAGCAGCCAGGTTCCTTAGCCATTTGCAGCCCAGGGGCTTCCGGAGGCTTGCCCCCAGCCCTTGGGGAGAGCTCACTGGGGGAAGCACTCTGCTAGGAGGAGTTCCACCCTCTCTCTCCTTTTCCCTTATAAGGACAAGTGGCCTAGGTCACTGGCCCAGGCCCAAATGGGCATGTCCTGAGGTCAGAGAGGGGAAGTGATAACCTCACAGTCACACAGCAATGAGACGTAACACCTGAAGCCAGAGCCTTCCGGGGGCCTAACGTGTTTGCACCATCAGGAGCCCTTCCCCAAGACCCGGCCTCCTGAGCTACCACCCAGTCTGCAAGGAGCAGGCACAGGCCAGAGGCCAGAGGGGGCCTCCACCAGCTGTGGGCCCAGCCAGGGAAGGGAACGAACCAAGTAGGTCTTCAGGGAGCCCAGCAAGCTGGTGCAATGGGCTACGCTCTGATCTGCCAAACATAAGGTCAGTGGTTTGAACTCACCAGGCAACCTATGGGGGAAAGATGAGTCTGTCTACTCCCATAAAGATTTAAAGTCTCAAGAAACCCCAAAGAGGCAGTTCTACCCTGTCCTGGAGACCCACTAAGAGTTGGAAGTGAGTTTGGAGTGAGTTTCAAAACGAGCAGCTTCCCCTAGGCCAGTGGGTTGAAACCACTCAGACATGTGGCCCAGAGTCTCCAATTTTTCCAAAAATGATGGTCATTCCAGCTGTTGTGTAAAGATGCCCACGTTTTTAAAATCCAGCAATGAATTCTATTTTTTAAAAGAGACTCTGGTACAGGTCAGTCTCCACAAGTCTGTGGGCAGCACAGAGCTTGAGGGCCGCCACCAATGGGTCAGGAGACTGAGGGCTGGTGCAGCGGCCAGCACCCTGGATGCAGACAGCCCACCTGTACTTGAAGGCCAGGTTGGCCACTGGAGTGCTCTGCGACCTTGGATAAGAAACTGCCCCTTCTGCGCTCTGCTCCTGGTTTGAGTTCTTCGGGGTTCACAGAGATGATGTCGGCAGCCCGACTCTGAGTGACCCTGTTAGTGTCAGGGTAGCATTGTGCTCTGTGGGGTTTTTGGTGGCAAACAAGAAACTCCAGGTTCCAACGTTAGTCCCTCCACCTTTACTCACTCACACTGACTCCCATCGAGGCCATGGGACTCACAGCCACCCCACAGGGCAGGGTAGGCCTGTGGACTTCCCAGACTGTCACTTTACAGGAGTAGAAAGCCTCCGCTTTTCCCGGTGGAATGACTTGTGGTTTTGAACTGCTGACCTTGTGGTAGCAGCCCAGCCCAGAATCCGTACACCACCAGGGCTCCTTCTACTCCCACTACACACCTCCAGACAGTGGTTGCCTGGTGAGGGTGCATGATCTGGAATAGACGGCCAGGTACCCCTTTTGAGGAGCCTCTGAGTGGACTCAAACCTTCGACCTTCAGGTTAGTACCCAAGTGCATAGACTGTACCACCGAGTGCATGCTGAGCACCTGCCTGGAGACAGCAGGTAAATGTCCTCATCCCTCCCTCCCACCTGGCTGTCTCCTGAGCCTCTGCGATGCCCCCCACGGGGCATGGGTGCTGGCCATAGGGCAGCAGTCCTGGGAGATGCCCCCTGCTTTGGCTCTGGTGCCAGGGTCATGCTAGTCATTTCCAGAAGGCCTCCGGTGGGTGTGAGGCGTGGGAGCGTGGGAGCCTGGTGTCCAGAAGGCCAAGGGCAGAAGCTATTTCTGGCATTTCTCAACACACGCTGGTGCCACCTTTGCCTATATAAGGCTGGCCTGGTCCCAAGGCCCAGGCGTTTGCCAGGGGCTTCTGACTCATCAAAGACAGAGCCGCTTTGCCAAGGGGCGTTTCTGAGTGGAGGATTCAGAGCCATAAGACAGGGAGGAAGAGGAAGTGGTGGGCGGGCTGGAAGACCCAGTCAACAAGGTAGGCTCAGGCCAATCTGCTGGGCTTACCTCACCCCCACCGTATCACAGATGTGGCCAGACAAGGGGTGACCCTGCTCAAGGGAGCCCTGGTGGCAGCATGGGTCACCTGTCGGGCTGCCAACTGCAAGGTCACCTGCCGCTCCGTGGGAGAAAGACGAGGCTTTCTGCTGCCGTAAAGATTTACAGCCTCAGAGAGAGACCCCCAGGGGCAGTTCTACGCAGGCACCTCAGGGCATGTCACACCCACGCGTGGAGTCCTGTGGCCAGAGGAGATTGTCCCATGGCCACCCAGAAGCCCTTGAGAAAAGAAAGTGCCCCGACTCTAGCTTCTGGCTTTTCAGGGCCCCGTTGGGAGGCGTGGTCGATTGTCCTGGTTGATCCCATTGGCTGAATTAAGCTCACCTGGCCTAGATGGACCAATCCAGGTGTCCCAGCCACCTAGGTGTGTCACCCGTTCCTGAACAAGAGCTCAAACCTGTGAACATGTGCAATGGACACCCTAGTCCCTGTTCTAAGTACCTAACAGAACTGCTCCCGTGGGCTGCACATCTTGATGGGAGCAGACAGCCGCATCTTTCTCCCGAGGAGCGGTTGGTGGGTTCAAACTGCCGTCATGCGGGTTAGCAGGCAGAGCATGGCTCCCTGTGCCAGCAGGGTGCCTTTCTATGGGTGATGAGAGAAGTTGCATTTGACAGTGTGTGAGTGTGCAAGGTTGTCACAGCCCCACTGGCCTGAGGACGCACAGGGGCAGCTACAATCTGGCCACATCAACAAGTGAACCACTAACACCAGCCATCAAACGCACAGCGTTCTAGCAGACACACACACACACACACACACACACACAAAAGAGAAGTCCATTTTAATGTCATCTTTTATTTACCGGTAGGTCCAAAATATTATTCTCTCAACACACTCTCTATAAGCATGACGAATAGGCTGTCTTTTGCACTCAAGGTTGTGGATTACATGATTCAAATCTAGTGCGCATCTTATACGGACAATCTCTGCTCGGGCCAGCCACGTGCCAAGTGTGCTACAGTCACGCCCAGCAAGGGAATGGCTACCATTCTGGGCCATTCCCACTCTCCCAGCAAGTTCTCCTGGGCAGCATTGCTCCAGGTCGGGTCCACTAGTGGCCACGAACACGGAGATGGACCTTTTAGATCATACAGCCCTGGCGCCTTAGATACAAATGCATTCCGAGGCCGTCGGATGACAGTGCTCAATGAAGAGCGCCCAGTGAGGCTATAAGGAGTGGTGGGGACTGCGGCAAATAAGAGACACCAGGCTCCAAGGGAAACACCTGCCCAACCACCACTCAGCCGCAAACAAGTGCTGCCGGGTGGGGATGAGGGGCCCATGTTGCCGGGGTCTTCCGGGACTTTCCCGGGAGCATCTGGAGATCCAGATTTGGTGCGTGTGAAATCGTCTGAGTTTGAAGGATTAAGAAGGCAGCTTGCTCTCAAAACTCACAGCGCCCTCTCCCCCTTCTGCCAGGGTTCCCAGCTTTCCCTCGCTGTTTCCCTGCCCTCTGCAACGAGTCCCGGGATCCCATTCTCCTCCTGTTCAACCAAACCAAACTTACTGCCCGGGAGTCTATCCCAACTCCCAGGACAAAGCAGAACCGGCCCGTGGGCTTCTGAGACGGCAACTCTTTGTCGGGAGCAGAAAGTTTCCTCTTTCTCCCACAGAGCGACTGGTGGTTTCGAACCACTGACCCTGAGGTTCAGCAGCCCAACACGTAACCCACCCCTATTATACACGCTCATTTCTCAGATGGGGACACCAGAGTCAAAACCGGCCAGAGGAGGCTGGCTCAAGTAACCTGCACACATGCGCTTGGACGTGTGTGTTGGGGGTGGAGTCGGGAGTCCAGTGTGGCCGACGGAACTCCATCAGAGACTTTGATTTCAACTGTGTTCCAGCTCTGCCTTCTAACACGACCGCTCCGGCGAGTCTTAAACACGGCTCTGATCGGTCTGGGGCCTCGACACGGTACCAGGCTCTCCAGTCTGTTTGCTTCCGTGCTTCCCTGTGATGTCCACCCAGGTGGTCTCCAAGTCCTTGGGAGGGCAAAGAACAGCAACACAGAGGTCCTTCTGCACTGACTTCCCAGTGACCCTCGGGATAATACTCCCGGGACAGAAACCCAGGAGCGGGAGCGCAGGGTCTCAGGGGACACAGAGGATGAACTGCCCCGGCTCCGCCCCCGGTGTACTCGCACCAGGCTGCCTGTCACTGCCCACTGTCCACTGTCCCACTGTCCCAGCAGCAGCACAATGGGGCTGGTGTCCTCAGGTCTCCCCATCCTTTAGTGTCCACCGACCTAGGTTTGGCCAGTCTGGTATGGGCTTGTGGGCAACTGAGGCTGGAAGGAAGTGCACGTGGCCTGCTCCCACCAGCACTCATGACCACAGCGCGTGGCACGTCCTCTCCAGCGTGAGGCCTGCCTCTGGAGGCCGGAATATGGGAAGAGCGTCTCGGTATACAATAGTTCTTCCAGGAAGGACGTTTCTCCACAGCTCCTCTGCCCCCCATAAATGCTTAAATGAAGCTGACGCCTACAGACACCCGACCTTATGGACCACGCAGTAGAGGACACTTATCTAAAGAGCATTTGCTCCTTTGTTCCTCTTGTAGGCTTTGTGCTCCCTTTGACGTGTTCCCCACCCCCAGCCCCCCAATGCTTGAAGTACCTAGACTTCTACTAGCATGTTGCCCATCTGTTCGACGTATGTGATCACCATGAGGCTTGCGTGCCTCGAGCGCTACAAAAACCCTTTGTTGAATAGACGCTGGGCTCTGCTCCCTCCTCCCACTTCACCCCAGAATGGAGTGGGGTCCCCGTGTCCCCTTTTCTGTCTTCGTTAATCACACACGTCGCTCCGCAGGGCCGTTCGACTGCAGGGCTGGGCCCCACAGGTCTTGCTGGATGCTGTCTCTGTTTCCGTTTGCCGAGGATGTGTGCGTCGCAGCGCTGCTTTCTGAGCCTGTTGACCAGGCTGATGCTCCTCACAGGGCAACAGGGCAGTGTTTTCATCTCTTGCTCCTGAGCTTTCAGATGGATGACCTCCAAAGAGGGCGGGTGGCCCACCATTCCCCACCAGCCCGTACCGGAGGGAGGCTGAGCCTCCTGGGAAGATGAGAAGCCTGTTCTTCCCTTTTAATCAAGTCAAGCCTGGGCCATGTTTGGACCAATGGGATGTCAATCCTGGACTGCAGAGCCCGGCCCTGAAGGGGCCCCATCACTTCTACTACCAGCCCCTCAAGATGCCGCCTGTCTTATAAGACATCCAGCTGGGTGTCTGCACCCAGGCCCCAGAGGGTCAGCTTCATCTTGGACTTCCTGGCCCCAGCTACCCCTCAGCAGTGACCTGGCCATCCCACAATGCAAAGAAACCCAACCCCCTGCATTGAGTCGGCTCTGACTCACAGCGACCCCAGAGAACAGAAGAAACCGTAGGGTCTGTGAGCCTGTGAATCTGTACAGGAGCAGACAACCTCATTGTTCTCCTGCAGAGCTGCTGGTGGATTTGAACTGCTGACCTGCAGTCCTTAGTCTAACACGTAACCTGCTGCTCCACCGTGGCCCCTCTGCTCCGTGTGGAGCACAGAGCCGGTCCTAACGAGCTCTGCTCAAGTTCAGAAAGGCAAACAGGTGGTGGTGGGATGGGGACGTTTTGCTGCACACAGGCAGATAGCAAAATGGCCCTTCTGACTTCCCAGTAGTCCCAGACCCAAAGTCCTCATCCAAAGGATGCCAGTCACTTCCACCCCTTTTTCCACCTCCCCCTCCACATAACCATGAGCACATCTGAAAGGGTGCCCCACCTCTGCCCACTTCCTTCCTGCCCCCCAGAGAATGGGCATCAGTGTGAGTTAGGGAGTCCCTTGGGGCCATGCTTCCTAGGGAGGGAGACGTGCTACACAGAGGGAGGTTGTGACCTGCTGGAGGCCCAGGCCAGTATGCCCAGTCCTCTGCCTTCAGAGAGGCCCCTGTCTTCCCCTGCAGCCCCTGGCCTGGAATATTCCCAATAGACCTCTGCTGCCACCTCCTCAGAGAGGCCCTCCCTGACCACCTGGGCTGAGTAACTGCTGAGTCTGTTGATCTCATTGGCCAGTCTTGTGTTCCCCACAGGCTGCTGTCGTTTTGTGCTATTTGTTTACTTGCCGACATGAAGCACCGGAGGTGCTATTGAGTATGTATTGGACTGCTCACCATGAGGTGGGAGGTTCAAACCCGCCAGCTGCTCCGAGGGAGAATGACGAGGCTGTCTGCTCCCTTAAAGTCTGACAGCCGTGTTGCTGAGTCAGAAACAATGGGATGGCGGTGCGTTGGGTGAGCCCAGGTGTTCCCAAGCTCTGTGACCCCTGGAGCTTTCTGAGGCGGTGGCTTTTTAGAAGCAGATGTCAGTGGGCCCAAGCTTCCAACTTCGGGGTTCATGGCTGAGGGCTTCACCCATGACCCCACCCAGGGGTCTTGCACATGCATATATCAGGTTCTAAGAGAGGCTTGGGGGATGAGTCGATGAAAGGCTGAGTGCATGAAGAAACATGGTTAGGGTCCAACCCACAGCTACCCCCTGTACAACAGGCGAAAACCTGGCCCTGTTCTGCCCCAGCCTCACAATGGTGCCAATGTGTGAGCCTGTGGCTGTAGCCACTGTGCCAACCCATCTTGACCCGTGTTTTCCTTCCTTCCTTTTTTGGGGGGGGCTGGCTCTCTACCTAGAATGATGTCCATCCCCAGCGACTGGTCCCTCCTGACCACATGCCCTAGGTACATGAGACAAGTCTCATCACGCATGCTTTTATGGGGCTCTTGGCTGACTTCACAGCAAACTTCGATGGTGCAGGGGAATGGCCCCCTAGGGTGTCTAGGCTGTGGTTGCTATGGGAGCAGACCTCTAAGTCCTCCCGTGGAACTTCTGGTGGGTTTGAACCGGAGACCTTTCTGTTAGCAGCTGAGCCAGTAACCACTGTGGCCCCAGGCTCCTTCTCCTTAAGTCCAGAAGACAAGCAACCCCCGGCCGGTGTGATTCATTGTTTATTTGGCAGCCGTTCAATCAGAAGCACGTGACGTCATGGCCCATCTGGTCAAGGGCCCCTGCGGTTTTTCTCTGGGAAGGAACTTCCCTGTCCTCTGTCCCCTAGAGGGTACCCCACCCCACTCCCACGGGCTGTGACTGGGTTTGGACACGCAGTGCCTACTGGGAAGGGCCCCCCGCTGAGCCCGCCCCCCAGCCTTCCTTCTACTCTCCTCCCTGCGCATCCCTGCTTTCAGGGAAGCAGCCTGGATCCCTGGTCGCCATGCCCGGAACGGAGCTTCCTTGCGCTGCCTTCCTGTGGACGCTGCTGGCTGAACTTGGAGCTCCGGGGTGGGGAGTGGGTGTGAGGGGCCCGAGTCCTGGGCTGCGCTTCGAGGGACTGTTGGCCCATTCATTCTGCAGACTCTTGCCACGTGCCTTTTGGACCTGGTGCCGCTGGGTGCCATGGAACTGACCCCAACCCCTAGCGACCCTGTAGGACAGAGTAGAACTACCTCTGGGTTTCCTAGGCAGTATTCCTTCGAGGATCCCATCTCCAGGTCCTTTCTCCCTCGGAGCAGCTCGTGGGTTTGGACAGCAGGCATTTCCGGCTGGCACGTGAGCTAACACTGCCACTGGCCGGTGCTTCCAGGCCTCCAACCAAACTGCCTGCCTTCAAGTGGATCCTGACTCCCGGAGAGCTTGTAGGGCAGGGTAGGACTGCCCCTGTGCGCTTCTGAGACTGTAACACTTTATGAGAGCGGGCAGCCTCTCCTTTCTCCCTCTTTCCGGCCCCGAACTGCACTGTTCCCTGGGGATAGCCAGACACCTTCTCCAACACAGTGAGGGAGTCATGAGCCAGCACTCGGTCCTGCCCTCTGTAAAGGGTCACCTTGAGACCTTGCTTCCGGCTCCAATTTCTCTTCTGAATCAAGCACGTTGCCCCATGGGGTCGGGGTGGGGAGGTGAAGCCCACCTACTCGAGGAAAAAGCGGTGGTCACATTCAGGAGGGTCCAGGCTGGAGACACTGAGGGTCACCGCCAGAGGGCAGGGTCCTGGTTGGAGCTGACCCCAGAGTTACAGCCAAATGGCATCAGATTAAACAGGGAAATCCTAGAAAGCTTGGGAGGAGAAGGGGGAGGGAGGTTCTAGAACTTTCCAGTGAGCTTATGGCCCAGAGAGGCTGCCCAGAGGCTGCCCGGTCACCATTCTCTGGAAGTCACCCTGTCCCTTCCCAGTCCTCAGGAGTGGAAAATCACTCTGGGGCAGAAGAGATGCCAACCAAACAGCCTACCAGCTGCTAACAGCCCGAGAACTGGACTGGAATGCTTCCGTTTGACATGCCTCTCGAGAAAAGGGACTCCCAGGGACGGACGGTCTCTCCAGAGGGTCACCTTGCTCCAGATTGAATGATGTCCCCTGAATTTGTGTAGGACTTCCTGACTCCTGGGCCTGCGGTCAGAGTCCCACTTGGGAACGAGCTGTCTTTGTGGTGGTGACGAGGCAGGTTAATGAATGTAAGGGTGTGTTTGGGGTCAATCCCTTTTAGAAGTGTTACAGAGATTCAACACGGCAACCAAGAAGCACAGACAAGGGCAAGAGGTGCCGTGCTTCATGGCCAGCAGCTGGGAGCAGAGGACAAGGACTCCCTCCCGAGCTGACAGCAGCCAGCCCGCCCCTAAAACTCGTGTCCCAAGTCTGGGCCTGCAGCCTCCGAAATGGTGAGAAAACAAACCCTCGTTTGTTAAAGCCCCCGCCCCCACTTGTATTTCTGTTACAGCTACTAGATACCTGGGACACAACTAAACTAGTTAGTCAGGGGGTACTGCTTAGCTGGGCCCAAGGGGGTAGAGGGCCATCCCAATGGGACCAAAGAGGTGGCATTCATGATTTTCTGCAGTTGGGCTCTCTTGCCTCCCAGTCACATAAGAGGTCAGAGATAAAGGAGTCTGTCCCTCATGCAGCAGATCGGGGAGCCATCTAGGCCCTGAAATGCATGAGGGCGAAAGAGAAGGTGGTTTGGAGAAGGAGCCTGTGGGCCTGAGTAGACCGCTGGAGGCTGCCCTTGCTTTCTGCCTACTGGATCACAGACAAGGATTGCTGGACGGTCCCATGGCTCCTTAGCAGCGGGTGTGGGTGGCAGCCCTCTGGGAAGTCCCCTGTGGGGTGTCAGAGAGTCCGCAGTGTGCCATTGGTCCAGGTGGGTGGCAGCTCTGTGCCGTTCGCTAAGTGGACATTGGCCCAGGCTGGGAAGGAGCCCAGCTGGAAGATGGTCTGGGCCCAGGTATTTATGGCCAAGTTGAGCAGCAGGACACCCATCAAATTCATCAAGAATCCCGTGCGTACCTGGAATAGAGGCCAGATTGAAAGAGGGGTACCCTGGGTCCACTGCACAGCAACGCTACGGGGTTAGCTAGAGACCCGTTAGAGCTGCTATGGGAGCTGGGAAGTGTTCCCTTGGTCCTGGGGGCCTGGTGCGCTATGCCCGCTGGGCCCACCTTGTTGGTGGGGCCGTTGTCCCATCTTGACTCACAGTGAGCCCATCTGACAGGGCAGAGCCGCCCCACGGAGTCTCCCTGGCTGTCATCTCTGCAGGAGTGAATCTTTGGAGCAGCTTCTGGGTGGGTTCTGACTGCTAGCCTCACTCCCTTCCTCACTGCCATCGAGTGGGTCCTGGCTCATAATGACCCTGAGGGGCAGAGTAGAGCTGTCCGGTGCAGTTTTGATAGAAAGGCCTGTGTTTCTCCTGTGCAGTGGCTGGTGGTTTCAAACTGCCAACCTTGCAGTTAGCAGCCCAATGCGTAACTATATGCTAACCACTAGGGGGTGGCTCCATTAGTCCCTTTCATTAGCACTTAGCTTGTCACCTCGCCTAGGAAGTGAAGGAAGCGGCCATCCCTGCTCTGGTCCTGCAGGACCAATATCCTTTGCCTCCTGGGGCTCTGGAACTCCAGTCTGTCTTTCCTCTTCGACATCTTTCTGCTCAACATCTTCCAGCAAGTCTCTGGGTCACCACCAGGGTTGCCACCCTCTCCCACCCCTAAAGAATCCCCACCACCACCAGGAGCCCACCCCTCCAGAAGCCCATCCCCCCAGGAGCCCACTCACCTCCAGGAGCTCACCCCCTAAGAGCCCATCCCCCCAGGAGCTCAGCCCTCCCACCCCAGCCCACCCTCTCTCAGGAGCCCGCCCACCCCTAGGGCTCGGACTCACCATGTCTTTGACCATTAAGTGTCCCGAGGCAAAGGCGATGGAGTTGGGGGGCGTGGAGACCGGGAGCATGAAGGCGTAGGAACAGCCGACAGTGCCGGGAATCATCACGTACAGGGGGTTCACTCGCAGGCGGAGGGCCTGGCCAGGGGGAGGCATCCACACACACAGAGTCACAGAGATGCCAGGCAATGGGTAGGGACAATGACACAGAGCCAGGAAGAGCGGCAGGGAGCAACAAGGGCAAGGGAGAAAGGCCAGTTCAGAGAGACACGCATCCAGCCGGAAACAGAGGGGCGCGGTTGAGAAGCGACGGACCAGAGAAAGATGGTGGGACTGTCCCAAGGCTACATCCGGAGCCACCCTGCCGGTTCCACTGGCTGAGCCAATGACCTGGAACCTTCTCCTGGAGGACGTGACACTGTCCTGATGACCAGGGTTCCTGAGCGGTGGCCTTTGTGGGCTTTCAAACTCCGAGTCACCCCAGAAACCTTAGGGGGTTGGTGAGGGGCCAGATTGCAGGACCCCACCCCCAGTGGAAAGGTCCCACCTGGGACCCGGGTGTTTGCATATCTAGCAAGTCCCAGGAGTGCTCCTAGTCTGGAGACCCCAAACTCAAACCCACTGCTGCCCTGGCAAGTCCGACTCATCGTGTGACCCCATAGAGTCGATGTGTAAAATTAAAAAAACAACTTTCATTGAGGGCTCTTACATCTTATCACCATCCATATATTTCTCCAGTATGTCAAGCACATTTGCACATATGCCGCCATCATCATTTTCAAAGCATTCTCTTCCCACTTGAGCCCCTGATATCAGCTCCCCATTTCTTCCCCCTCCCTCCCCTTCCCGCCCTCCCTTACGAACACTTGATAAGCTATAGATTATTTTTTCCATATCTTACATTGTCCTCCATCACCCCTCACCCACTTTTCCATTATTCATCCCCCTGGGAGGGGGTTCTAGTTGATCCTTGTGATCGGTTCCCACTTTCCCCGCCACACCCTCCCCTAATCCTCCTGGTATCTCTACTCTCATTGTGGGCCCTCAGGGATTTATCTATCCTGGATTCCCTGTGTTGCAGGCTCTTATCTGTAGCAGTGTAC